GTACTTGCCGCGAATATATTGAGCCCAAAGCGACTTTCCTTCCCTGAAGCACCACCACAACTTGTAGGAGAAGACAGTAACAATATCCCTAAGGCAGTGGATGCCAAGGCCTACCTCAGAGAAAGGGCGGAAAATAGAGTCCCAACTCACCCAGTGGGTACGTCTCCCCCTCCCAGAACCGTTCTCGTAACCCCTGAAATAGCAAGCCATAATCTGGTCAATCTCGTCAATAGTAGACCTAGGGGGGTCGTGGACCATAAGTAAGTGAAGCGAAAGAGAGCTAAGGGTGCTCTTGATCAGCGCAAGCCGACAAATGAAGAAAAGGTGTCTATGCGACCAACCAAAGATCCTGTCGATCATCCTCTGTCTAATGTTCCCAAAGAGCGCTATCGTGAGATTGCCCTTATATAAAGGGGCACCGAGATAAGTAATGGGAAGGTCTCACCGTGCAAAGCTAGTGATCTCGTGGATCCGCTGAGCCCACCTGTCCGCGCTGGATGAGGAGAGGGTGAAGGTGCGCTTTTGCACACTGATCAGCTGGCCAAGAACCGAGTGCTCCAGAAGGTGCATAAGCTCGATCAGCCCATCATCATCTGCCCGGGTGAAGATGATTATGTCATCCGCATAAGAGAGGTGCGAGATGGGAGGTCCATAGCCACTTGTGTTGTATGTCATCCGTGGATAGTCGCGGATAAAGCTGTCAAAGACGAGAGAGGTAGTCCGCCGCAAGAACAAAAAGGGATGGGGAAAGGGGGTCTCTCTGTCTAAGGCCTCTAGAAGAGGGAAAAAAATCAGTGGGGCTACCATTAACCAGGACTGAGAACGTGCAGTGCTCCACACACGCCTCTACAAAACTGACCCACCGCTCGGGAAATCCCATCCTAGCTAGTGCCTCCCTAAGAAACGACCACTCCACTCTATAGTTGTTAGTAGTCGCTAGTTAGTCCTCTCTAGTTGTTAGGTCAGTTCTCTGTAGTTGCTAGGTTAGTTCTCTGTAGTTGCTAGGTTAGTTGTTTGTAATTGCTAGGTTAGTTCTCTGTAGTTGCCAGGTTAGTTCTCTGTAGTTGCTAGGTTAGTTCTCCGTAGTTGCTAGGTTAGTTCTTTGTAGTTGCTAGGTTAGTAGTAGCTAGGATAGTTCTCTTTAGTTGCTAGGTTAGTTGTCTGTAGTTGCTAAGAGCTGTCCGCATTTTAAGAGTTGTTCTCATTTGATCCGCCCAATATATA